AATACCAGAAAAGGTGCGGGCAGCTGCAGCTCACTGTTTTGGGGAGGCTCGGGGCCTGCTGAGGGCCTCTCCACCATAGTGCTGAGAGGCTGGCAGCAGCAGAAGTTCAGTGGCCAGGCAGAGGGGCTGTGTTCTTTCATGGCTCCAGATTGCAAGAAGAGAGAGAACAAGGCAGGAAGAATCTGCCTACAGCTCTACCCTCACTCCTCCTCATGGTCCATCTCCAAGGTACCTTCCTGCTCACTTCTCAGGCTTATGAGTCTGTGATTGGCCAAATTGCTTTACCCAGACAGCCCTTGGTATGTCCCTGAAGACTTACAGTCCCTCAAACTGATGCACTTTTCAGTCTTCATCTCATCTACCCTCTCAGCAGTATTAGATGCTTTTGCTGCCTCCCGTAGCCTTGAAGTATCCTCTGCCTGAGGCTTCCCAGGTCTTCCACCATCCCCATGGGCACTTCTGCTCATGTTCTCTGCAGCCCTGTTCTAAGTCTTCTAGGCAAAATGCCGTCTCTGTCATTCAATTCAGATTCCCAGGTGACTTCATCCACTCATATTCAGTTGCCATCTAGAAGCTCATCACTTCAAAGTGTAACTCTCTAGCCCAAACAGCAAGTTCTCTTCTGAGACTTGGGGCAGCAACTTCCAGCCTCCTTGACATATCTCCTTGACATCCTGACCTCAGCAGCTTTACTTTAAATTTGGTCTTCTGGCTGGGCACGGTGGCTCATGCCTGTAATCTCAGCCATCTGGGAGGCTGAGGCAGGTGGATCTTCTGAGCTCAAGAGTTCAAGACCAACCTGAGCAAGAGCAAGACCTCCATCACTACTAAAAATAGAAAAACTAAAGAAAAAAAAAAAAAAAGAAAAACTAGCCAAGCATTGTGGTGGGCACCTGTAGTCCCAGCTACTTAGAAGGCAGAGGCAAGAGGGTTGCTCAAGCCCAATAGTTTGAGTTTGCTGTGAGCTATGACCCCATGGCATTCTACCCAGGGCACAGAGTGAGACTGTGTCTCAAAATAAACAAACAAACAAACAAACTTAGTCTTCCTCCCTCCCTATTGGGTTGGTATAACCAATAGCTCCACCAGCCACACCAGAAACTGCAAGGCTATCCCTCCCTCACTCTCACCCTTATCCGCACTTAAAATCTATACCCCAGACCAGTCCATCCAGTGCCACTAAACATTTCTCAGCTCTTCCCACTCTCCCCACAGCACTTTCTGCAAACCAGCCACCATCACCATTTCCTTGGTTGACTTGCAGTGGCCCCCTCACTATGCACCACTCAGCAGCTCGTTCCCCTCCAATTTGTTCCCACACCTGTAGGGGTACAGCACCCCACGCTCAGACATGGCAGTTTGGCTTCATGTGCTCCCCACAGGAAATGGCTCTGAGATGGAGTTCTTTTCCCTGAGGTCTTGCCTGCGCCTACAGAAATGCAGAGATGCTCTCACAAAAGAATACCAGAGAGCCAAGCCTGGGTCTCAGCTGGAAGCTGGAACACTTGTCAAGGCATTGGGCTGCTGCACTCTGCTCCTCTCCCCTCATTAACATTATCATCACTTGTTTCGGTTTAGGGAAAATGGGCTAACAGAGCAGACAACCTGGCTCCCTTATGTTTTAACCCCAAACAAAATCAATTGTCTATGTGTTCAGCAGCAATCATACTGAATTGGAATCTTTTTTTTTTTT